CCCCAAAACCCCAAAACCCCAAAACCCCAAGATGTAATAAAATTTAAAATTTTCTATAAATGGTATCCCCTCTCTCTCACTTTCACAGGACCTAACCACTCTCAAGACAAACCACTCAAAAAATCCACCTCAACCGGCTCCTATTTACTACAAATCCCTTATAACCAACTCTAAAATCCTGTCCCAGTCCTACAGGTTTCCTGAATCCAAGCTAAAAGTTACCCTAAATAAAAATTACAGAAGGAATGGGAGAACGAAGGTAAGGGGTACGAGGGATTTGGGAAGAAAAGTGGGAATTTTAGGGAGATTTTAGGAAAATTTTGGAATTTTTTAGGGATTTTGGGGATTTTTTAGAGGGGTGAAGAGGATGGTGCTGAAGGAGAGAGGGATTTTGAGTGGGTGATAGGGCAGGAAGTGGGGTTTATGGGTTATAGGTGAAGAAAGGTGATGTTTATCGGTATAATATTGATCCGAGAGCTAAAGGAGGGATGAGTAATAGTGCAAATTCTGTTAATAAAGCTAAGATGACTGATAAAGCGATACCTTTGTTTAATGAATACGGTATGTTGGTAATAATTTTGTTGTAGAAGATGTAAAGACAGATTATTCTGTAAAGAAATAAAATTTCTCCCCCGAGTGCCATTGGATGCAACCACCCACAAGAGAATCAGAATAAGCAAGATTTTTATAAAATTTTAATGCAGCTCAAAAGAAGTAAAAATAGGTAATTTTTTGAATGCTTCAGATGATTGGGTCTGAACAATTAGTCAATAATTCAGGAGAAAAATTTGAATTAAATCAAAATCAAAATAGGTCAATTAAGAGGAGCAAGGTAGATCACTGGTATGAAAATGCTCAAAGGGTTGTATCTTCTCAAAATAAATCAAGGAAGAGAAGATCTTTATCTTCTAACAGATGATATACAGCTTCTTCTAGAACTCGCCAACTCACTACAAACTCATTTAGTACCTCCTTAAACACTTCAGGATTTAATAAATTCTACAAGTCATCTAGACTAGACCGTCAAAATACAGTTGAATCTGACAAGAGACTAAGGCAAAATTCAAGTTCTAGGTTGCTCCAAAGTAGCCATTTTAAATCATTCACAGCTGAGCCAGTCCCAAGTTCCCCTCGAGATCTTTGCTCTGACTATTACGATAGTGCCATCCACAATATGACCAACAAGGAGCTGTTCACTGAACCAGAATGGGAAGATTTCAACCTAAATACATCACCTAAAAAGAAACAGAAAGAAATCCTTGAAAAACTTAAAAGAAAATATAAACTGATTAAGAGGTCTTAGTAAGCCCCACAGTAACATTCTAGTCCCGAACAAGTGCCAAGTTATGTAAATGCAGAGATCAAGCAGTTCTTTAGAGACCTCCAGCACTGGTTTGAGGACATCTTCAGAGCAGGGATGTACATCCCTGATGCCAATACTTCCTTAGTCAACTTTGTGGTCTCTGAGAAAGGTGATATTTTCATTCCTTCTGAAAGCGCACATGAGGCTACAGGCGATATGGTTGTACTCAAGCAGAATTATATTGCAAAGGCTAGGTTCAGCCAAGGAGTTCTACAGGAAGGCCAAGCTTGTATTTTGCATGTTGCTGGTGATTACTATGATGGAAGAGTACTCACTGATGGTATTCCTGATGGCCAAGGATCATTTTACTATGCAGATGGCAAAAATTACGATGGGCAATTTGTTCAAGGCAAAAGAGTTGGTAAAGGAAGACTTAATTATGCTAATAAAAGTCAATATATCGGGCAATTTATTGAAGACGAAGCAAATGGAAATGGTATCTTTATTGATACTAAAGGAAACAGATTCATGTCTCTTCAAGCACAAGACAGCTCTGAAGATTGTGGATTCTTCAAAAACGGAAAACTCTTTGGACTAGGTGAAATTAGATATGAGAATTCTAACACCTACAAAGGAAACTTCAAGAACACCAAAAAGGAAGGATACGGAGTAATGAAATACTCAATTCCAGCAGGTAATGAAATACGCACTGGGATTTACAAAGGAAACTGGAAAAGAGACATGAGAGAGGGTCAAGGAGAAATGACTTATGACAACATGTCAACTTTTAAGGGAACTTGGTCTAAAGATGCTAAAAGTTATGGCACTCTTATCAACAATGATGGCTCTAAATATACAGGGTCCTTCTTTGAAGATGAGTATCACGGATACGCCAAACTCACCCTCAGAAATGGAGTCATCATCGAGGGAGAGTTCATCAATGGAGAACTTAAAGATAAAGGTAAAATCACCTTCAAAGATGGCCAAATCTTTGAAGGAATTATAGAGCATTGGGATATTGGTGAAAGAGGCTTTCTTAATTATCCAGACGGCAGTCAGTATGAAGGACAATTCAAATTTGGCCGCCAGCACGGGTTTGGGATATATACTTCTCATAATGGTGACAAATATGAAGGAAAATGGGAAGAAGGTGCTAAAGCAGGATTTGGCAGAGAATTCATTTTCAAAACCAAAGAATACTACGAAGGTCTATTTAGCAAAAATAGAAGGCATGGTAAAGGGAAACTACTTACCGATAAAGGAGAACTATATGAAATCCTCTATTCTAGAGGAGATCTGAAAAACAGAAGTATGGTACCTATCAAGGTAGGAAAAGGCTTATACAGAAAGCAAGTAGGGAAGTTCTTAGAAGAGAGACATATAGTCGAGCCCAAAGTGACTGCGAATTATCGCTCTTCCGTCTGTGTCACTATAATTCCATAAACTCTTTCAGTACTCGTAAATGCAATTGGGGTTTTGGGGTTTTGGGGTTTTGGGGTTTTGGGG